TGGCTGCCCTCAGTGCAGCCGCTGGCTTCATCGATTTCTCAACCAATCCGGTCATCTCGTACTTGCGAACCTTGTTGGCATTTAGGTTGGGTGCAATGAGAACAAGCGAGTGCCGTCAATCGGAAGCAACGCAGGCATGATGTGCCGACGTAACTTCGAATTCAGGGCTGTATCAGTGGGCATGCGTTCAAAACGATGGAGAAGGAAATGGCCGAGCTTTATGAACGATTCGAGGGGCCTACTCACTCGTTCTCGCCAGCGAATCAAACAATTCTGCCAAGTGAATTGCTTGCAATTCATGTATTGCCCAAACATTCGCTGGGAGCGCCATGCGGTGCAAAACGCGTTCCAGAATGATGCTGCGTAAGATTCACATAGGTTCACTTGGGAAGCAGCTGGGCACCCATTTCAGCTTCCAAAGCCGGTTTTCGCCCCCACAACAGGTACATCTCCATAACGTCGCAAACATGTTAACAGGAAAACACCAGGCACAATGATGTGAAGTAGTGACATTGATTGTCCTGAAGCTGCTCAAGAAGGTCATTGTTCGTCTGATTGAGCTGCTCGAATAAACCACTCATGGACAATAACACTATTTGGGACCTCTGCCTGTCTGCTTCCAAGCGCTGCTTGTTAAACGGGAAGTTAGATACCCGGGCAATACTACACGAAATGAGACAAACCACACCACCCGTTCGCGGCGCACACGGCTCGAATTCTCCAATTCGCCCTGAACTCAGAGACGTCTGCCAGGGCCCCGGACGCTCCGGAATCCAGCCATGGATCATTGGGCCTGAAACGGCCGCAGCAAAACATGTTGACTCCGAATTTCCCCTTGCGAGCTCCGCGGTAGCATGGCGGACAGAAAGAACGGGGGTATCCAGTACTGGAATCTATCCCGGGCTTTGTCAGGCGGTTTTCGTTTATGTTTTTTTCTCGCACGTACGCGAAGCCACACAGCCGGCAACTTCTGGCTGCAGAAGGGCCCACGATGGGAACCCTTTGATTCATCGGGCCCATGTCAATGATCGAAACTCGGTCTCTTTGAGTGAGGAGGTGCTGATCTGGGTCAGGTGTTGATGAGCGGAAGAGCAACGGGGCACCTTTGGCATCTGCAAATCCTAAAGGACCCCTGGACAGCCCTGCAGCCGCACACCTTTGCCATATCTTGGCGACCACATGCTGTGGGTTTGGAACAACGAAGCCTTGTCCCTTTCAGAATGCTAATCCAAATGGCTGTGGCTCAAGACTTGGAATCAAAATGGCACCTTGGCAACTGGAAACGCCCAAAATCTACGCTTTGCCCTAGCTCTTTCATGTTGAGCCATACCCAGATTGCATCCGAAAATCCAGAAGTACACTGATGGGCCGCGTGAACCTGGTTGTCACGTCCTTATTGCAGGCACAGAAGCTTTGAGGACGGGGACATGTCAAACCCCAAACCGGATCTCAGGGATTCCGGCCAGCCCAAAACAATTGACATGGAGCTTTGCAAACCCATTCACAAAGCATGTTTCGCCTCTTTGCCAAAGTTTGGTCTTTGCTCACTAAGTATCCAAGAATCTTGCATTGGCAAAGAATCCAACCTCCTCAAAAGGATGCTACGGCGCATCGATCGACTGCCTTTCCTGAGGTTCCCGGCCCGCTCAAAGGATCGTCCTGAGCCACAACAACCTCTGCCCACATGGCTCCAGGCGGAGTTTTTTCGAGACTGTATCTAGGTCGTCCAGTAGAGAGGATAGAATAAGGGTACCCTTTTGCCTGTAGTCTATTTTAGTAGGCCAACCCTCCCAAGCAAAAGAGAAACGGTAAAAGGGCACCTAGGTGCGGGGACCTATAAGGCACCCAACTGGTTGACATGGACAACTGGGCTTCTATTCATGGGGCCAGAACTCATCCACTTCCGGAGTCAAAAAAGAGGTGAGTCATAATCAAGACCCTTTGTATTCAAATGGTCGACCCGGAACCATGAAAAGAATTAAGAAGCCGGAGATCCGCAGCGAGTTTTATGGTTGGGATTGTCCCTTACTAACCTTCGTCTACCCGGGTTTTGATTGTGGTTCAGGTGACAGTTTGCTACAGGCGGGCTTTGAAGACACTGCTTCGTCTCCTGTTCATACGACCCTTCGGGAGATTTGGCAAGTTCCACCTGGCCTTCCCGCACGAAAGCAACACTGATCTGAGTGAAACCCCCTCTCTTCATGTCAAGAAAGGTCATGCCCAACACATGTTTCCTTGAAACATGAAGCATAGATCTGGCGCAATAGGTCAACAGGTCGAGTGGAACCACAATGGCCCATGAGCTTGGCATCTTAGGGTTCTGGCCGCTCGGCAAACAAGGAGCGCCGCCTCCTCGTCTTCCGACGGCTCTGGGGTGGAAGCAATGGCAGTGGCAGCACAGGGCTGGCTGCGGGTCTCCTCACGCTGAAAATGCCAAGTTGCCACATGGGCTGCTTGGTGGGAACCTCAAACCTGCTTTTTGACCCATGTGAAATGGGGCCAGGGCGGGCAAATGAACAGGTTGAGGGTTGCAAGGACATCCGCTGAAACCCCAAGTTTCAGGGTTCACTTGCTGGGTCTCGCCTTCATGAGGCATGTCCATTTCAAAGTGTGCCCCTCTTCCCCATGCCGGCATAAGACGCCTCTCCGGTCTGTGGCATTTTGCCATTTCCCCGCTTGACGCCAAGGACCCGTTCGGTATCCTGAAGCTGGATCCTAAAGTTGGCTGCTCGGCTTCCCCATAGCCTTCCTTTTGGCTTCAAGAAAACAATCAAAGGGGTGTCCTTAGTTTATTGACACCCCTCCGTCTCCTTGCCAATCTCGCAATTTACAGCTTCCGAGAGCCGCATTTGCTGACGCTTGAGATCGTTTTCGGCAGCGAGACACGCGTGTCTCAATTGCGGCATTTGCCGTACGTCCCTATTGGCAGGGGTATGCAAAACTCGCGCAAAGGGCACCGTTTCTCGTTAATCCAAATCTGCTTCATTCTCACATGCCTTCGACTTGCATGCATTGCCGACCAACAAAAACGAGATTCACAAGCATCCCAAGAATGAGTTTCCCCGTATCAACCTCGCATAAAAACCTGATCAGGGCATTATCCTGGCCCCACTACCATCTAGGAGCCTTGACCTGCGGGAACATGCGTGCACCCGAGCAGGGAGACTCCACCTGTTGAGCCCATGCAGACAAACAAGCGCAAAACACCATTTTGTCAGCCTCCGCGTTTAACAGCTGCTCGAAGTGATCGCATAACAATACATATATGCCTTTGCATAAATAAGCACAAACAGTTCTTGGATAGACGGGCGCGCTTGTCCACTTAGTTAAGTGAAACGAAACTGGCTTACACTCACATCCACAAGTACGTGATGTTGATAGCCAAGCCGATGCCGAGTATATCAGAAGGGCACAGCTGGTGACCCATGACAACCCGCGGCACAAACCAAGAAGCCCAAACTGAGAGGCATGCCAATCCACTGGCAACAATCAGCAGCCAGGGCCGGCGTTTACACACCCACACACACCCACACGCGCGCGCACGCGCACGGCACCACAGATTTTGGACAAGTATAGGCTTGTGAAATCACAATATGTATATATATATATACCAAACCTGTTTTTTTTTTTTTTTGGGGGGGGGTACCATATATATATATATATATATCAAACACCCACCGCCGCGCTGGACCATGTGCAGCTCGGGCCGATCCGCCATCCCTCCTCGACCTTCGGCTTCGTGGGCACGGGGTCGAAGCCCAGGAGATCGGAGAACAGCTCGGACCGGAGCTCCTGGCCGAGCTGCTCATGATCAGAGCCCGGCAACCAGATTTTGGCTCACTGCCGATCGAGTGGATGGCCCCAAAAAAAGCTCAGAACTTTGTGTATCTGCCACTAAAATGAATGGGTCTTCCCGAAAAGCTTAAAGTTCAGGAACTCGGGAAGTGAGGAAGTTGTTTTTTGGTTTGCTTCGCTTTGAGTAAACATGTAAAATGTGAGATGTATGCTAAACCGCATTCTTCAGCGAAAGCCGTTCGACATGAGGAAAGAGATCTTATGACGGTGATAGGAAAAGATACGATTTTCTGCCTCGAGGTGCGCCAGGTCGCTTTCGGTGAGCAGTCGTGAAATTTCAGGAAACCAAAAGGAAACCTCATTCTTGTTGGGGGGCAGGAGGGGGACCGTTGTCTCCAAACTGACTGTCAGTGAAAGAACAAACAACCAAAGGGCAAACATGGGCAAGATAGACGTCCTGTCATGGTTGTGCCCGAATCAAACACCACCCTTTAGCTACAAATAGAGACATCCTTTGGGCTGTTTTTTGACTCATGCTTTACTGACTGTCCAGCAACATCGCAAGCCTAGAAGGCCTCGCGAATCATTTTGGAGAAAGGAAGTGTCGGTGGTTAAACATGCATCTGAAGCAAAACACACGTGTACTCAAACACATCATATCCGGTCGAAGTTGTTTGTATTCCAAGAGCGAGCCTGACAGCAAGAAAAACAATGCAAAGTCGCAAGCGTCACCGACCACGACAACAAGAGACAACATCCACTAACACCTCAGAAAACCTGGCAGCAACGTCACCTGAGGTTGTATAAAAGCCTCGATGCATTTAGATGTCATTCCTTTTCTGAGGTTGTAGCTTTTCCACTCCTGATCGGTTTGCAGCATTTGTTGTGTTCTGTCCTTTCAACCTCGCAAACGCGACATTCTAGTAGAGGTGCAGGTGCAGTGCACGTGAAGCACACTTTGGCAGCTCCAGCTTGTAAAACCCTATCACACGTACAATTCAGTGCTGCTTTGAGCAATGAACCAATGCTTTCTCGGATAGCCGTGGCCCTGGCAGGGAAATTCGAGCTGGCAGGGAAACTCGAGAAGCACTGCTTGTGGATTGCGTGATGACTCATACTACATCATATCATGGTGTCAGATCTGCGAGACATGTTGTTTAATCACCAGAAAAGCATGAATCAGTTAATTCCCCTAGATCAGAGAAATCATTCTAGATCAGTTCCCCCTAGATGATTCAACATCATCTGCACTTTGCCAAGAAAGGGCTTCCCTTTGGCAGTGCTGGATGCCAAAGCCATGGCCTGAAGCGATTGCGTAATGATCGTCACACCCAGGCGACTCCTCATGACTCCTCTTTCATAAAACTCTATCCTGAATCCTCATCTCGGTTGCGAAATCTGCTCCCCTGCTAAAAGTGTTTAACCTTCTTGTGGTTTAATACGGAAACCCCATTAGTCGGCAAAAAGTTAAAGTCCTGACATCCCTTGGCAAAATGCATCAAAGTCATGATTGCAACGCGCATTCTCGTGGCCGGCAAACAAAACCAGGCCGGACGAACCAAGCCGAGCCGAAAAAGACCACAGCTCTCCCGCGCCTCTGGCTTCTTCGGCTTCACTTCCTCCTCCGCCTTCTGGCTGTGAAAAATCGGGTGACCCCAAAATGGGCCCTAAATGGAACCAAAGACTACCTGCCGTCTGGATTCACTTTGACCCATGCCCACCTGCGGCTCCTCCGTGACCGCCACCAGTGGCTCCATCGCCACGGCCGCCGGCGCCGCCATCGGCGCCGCCCTGGCGGCCTCCAGTGCTTCGAGGCGGACGGCCTGCGCCGCCAGCAGCGCGTCCTGCTCTCTGAGCCGCGCCTGGCGCGGCCAGGGGACGTTCGCGCGAGGGCACCGAAATTCGTCGAACAAAAACATGGCGGCCACTACAATGGCAACCAAACCCAACAAGTTGAGAGTGCAGGAACTCAGGAAGTGAGAAGCAGAACACGTGAAGGGCTGAGATGTTCAGGGCGAGCTGTATGCTTCTATTTCCACAGGATTAAACACCAGCACCAGCTGCAAACTGCGCTGCCCCTTTCTCATCAGCCATCTTTAAGGCATTGAATGGGGCCTTTGGCCTTTCGTCAACCTCCGTATTTCTGGGGGGAGGCAATTTTCAACGTGACTGCTAGGTACAAAAGTTCCCCCGGTGAACACCTGCCAATACTCATGCTGGGCTGCTGTTGGCGTTGCCAATTTCTGGGACTCTCGGAAGCTCTGCCCCACCCCAGGCTCGTATCTCAGCCATTTACGACATGGAGTTCCGGCCTGACTGGGAACACCAGGTAAATGAAGGCAGATCCAGTTGTAATCCGAAACAATAAAAAATCTAAATCTATGGCAGGTGGAGATGCACAAGTGTCCTCACTTCCTGAGTTGATTCTCAAAACCAAACTGGAACTTGTCCCCAGCCACATCACCAAAACACGAAAATCATCGAGCAGTATCAAGTCCAGAAACACATCCTAGACGACTGAAATCGAGACCTCCACAGGCCTCCTGTTTGCTGTAGCTGTCTGTGACAATCTTCAGCTCGTCTTTCACCTCACTGAAACAAGAAGTGGGGTGGCTCCAAATTTAAGAGTTGGGCCTTTGAATCTTTGGTTCCATTTACCAAGGTGCCAACATGGTACCTTTTTTGAGCCACCGCCAAGTGATCCTTGTTTCTTTCTCGCGCCTTCGACCCTTAAGGGAACTGCGCCGACACTAGTCCAGTATATCGGCTATCTTGGGTCGGGAGCTGGCTTCTTCTAGAAGTCAAAATCTGGCTGTGGCTCAAAATTAAAGAGCTGGGGTTACGCGGGTTTTGGTCTTTGGTTCCATTTACCAGGGTGCCTTTTTTTGAGCCACAGCCATTTGTTGAAGTAATTATGTTGATCTCAAGTTTCGTCCGCGACACATGTTCTATCTCTGTGCCTGACAAAAAAAAAAAAAAACTAAAAAACTGGGCCTGTGTCGCTAGAGCTCGGCACGAATTGCAAGGTTCCATGACCAACAAAGACGCGGTGGAATATCCCAAAGAAGTGCTTTGAGGTTCCGTGTCCAGCAAACAAGACACGCCACTGCCACCAATTGTGAGGGCATAGAGGCTGCTGTCGCGCAAAGCCAACTTCGCCCACTAACCTGGGGGGTGCCGGAAGTGATAAACACATCCTTAAAAAGACGTAACTAGATCGTAACAAACACCGCTAACAGAATCGTATACTGTTTACTTAAACAAAAAGTGCGCTCAATGTACGACATTACGGTATTGATTTACACAAGAGACACGTGTACTTTTCTGACTTGTTCGGACTCACCCCCAATTTCCTCTTCCGAGAAACCCCCAAGAAGCAACAAGGCGTAAACAATCGTAAATCCGGTGTAAGAAAACATCAATGCGAATCATACCAATATCGTATCTAAATCGCAAAAACACAACAACTCGATGACCGGGACTTAGCCTACCGTAGGTCACAAGTTAGTACGTGAAGATCATTCAAAGTAGTTCCCATGTTGTCCGAGCTTTACTTGACACCATCTGCGGTGCCTGTTCAATTGACCCCATTCCCCTCGCCCCAGGTCTTCCTAGCTCGCGATGTCAAAAACATGTAAAACACTTCCCAGTCTCTGATGCTCTGGGCTGCCCGGCATACCACACGGCTTCAAGCAGGACATCCATGAGATCAGACTGCTCCTTGAAGAGCTTCTGAGATGCTGCTTGAAGCTGCCTAAGCCGAAGATTTTCCAAATGACATCTCTCTTCCTGTCGCTTTCAACATTCTGCAAATGCTACCCTTCAACGAATCTCTCAAAGCCGAGGGAAAGCACGTTGCCCCAAAGCACTGGCTGACAATGTTATAGGGTGTCCTTGGGTCTCTGGTGCTTGGGTTGTGCCCCACCTTGCAACCTCGTCTCCCCTCTCCTCTTGGGGGCCTGGTCAGCCGATGGGTCGATGGGTACTCGCGCGCGCATCAAGTGACTCAGTGACAAGCCCACCCCAGCGTCTCCCCGGCTCAAGCGGCAAATGCAGGTGTCTTCGCTCGCAAATAATTGGATGTCTTTGGATGATGGTTCGTGGCGTCACTTCAGGTTGAAACCAAACGCCAGGGCCGATCCAACTCTGGCCCTTCTGTCCGTTGACCACAGGCGCAGCTAGCGATGATAACGCGTGGGCTTAAAAATGAAGCAGGCAACCCACAAGCCAGTTTGCTGCAAGTCGGGAACTAGGAACTTGTATTTTACCATGGCTCGTGGCTGAATTACTCGTAAATGGGAATATTCGAGAAAGCCAACAAAATGCACGCCTTCGTACGATCCATGTTCGCTGCAAGTGTTGCTAGTGCTCCATCGCTTTGGCTGCCTGAACCCTAACATGTAAAGAGAGGTCCGGCCAAAACCATATTTTGTACAGGGATCCTTACATTATACTGAACATTGCCTTGCAAATGGTGGTTTCCCTGTATCTTGGTGGAGAAAGCCATGTTTCAAATGGGCAAAATGGAGATCCTTTAAGGAGCCCTGGTGTACACAGGGCTATTTGCTCAGCGCATCACTTTGCAGGCAAACGGCAACCTCCGCCCGTCTCCCACTGGATCCGAGGGGCGACAAGCTGTGCTTGGCTCCGTTGCTCATGGCCTTCGGCTGTTTAGGAACACCCACGCGCGCTCGCACGCTCGCACACACACACACACAGACATGGCCGTGGGTTGAACCCCGTACCCCCAGTGAACATGCCAATCCCCACTAAAATAGACTAAAATGGCTTTGTGCGCCTATCCCAAAATGGTACCATTGGTTTGAAACATGGCCACATAGACACACACGCACACACAGACACACAGACACACAGACATACAACACAAACACGAACACACACAAACACCACACCACGTGCCGCGCGCCACGTTCCGGGCCACCCCAGGCCAAACAACGCATGCCGCGCAATACCACTTGCATCCACCCACCACGCCGGCGCATAACCAACCAACCAACCAAACAGACAAACAAAAAACAAACAAGCAAGCAAGCAAGGAAACAAACACACAAGGTAGCAAGTTGAGGTTTCGCCAAGGCCCAGAAAATATCTTACTACTGAACTAGGTTTGTCAAACATGATCCTTTCAAAAACACAGCTTCCTGATTCAAGTACTTCAATCAACATGCTTTTCCAATCCAGGGTCAACGACTGGACAATCACTAAATACTAAATGTCCGTTATGTCGAAGAACGGGTTTGAACTCTTGCCAACATGCCATAAACCGTCTAAGCTTGACCATGTCCCCTGATGTTCTCTTTCTGAGTGGGTCGACCAAAACAAGTTTGAAGTCCTTGCAGCCCACCAAAAACCATCTTCCGACCAACAAAAATGCCGTGTCCAAACGCTAGGGAAGTGGGGATGCCAGGAACACTCATGACATCGAGGATGCTCATCCGCTTCAAGGCTTGCTATCATTGACAAAGGCCAGGCAGGTTTACTAGCTGGAAACGTGGTACGCACGTGTGCGCCTAGCAAATCGCTGTTCCACCCGCAAGCCTTCAAACACGAACGCACCACATCCTTTCTTCCTATTCACAAACGCTTCCAGCCGACCCCAAAAATTGCCAATACTTATTTCAAGCTACCCATGACTAAACCATGCACTACTAAACTCTCAAAAACTCTCCAGAAAACCAGTTGAACTCAGGCCAAGCTCCCCAAATGTGCCTATTAGGGCCACCCGAGCAAAAATCAATCGTGCTGTCTCGTTTGAGCGATATTGATGATAAGGGTCTCCAATAGGTTCCCTTCGATCTTGCTCAAAAGTTCCATTCTGAGCGTCTTTCTTCTCAAACCAGAGGCTTGAAATATTGTCTCCATTCTGTTTTGGCCAACACTTTGCAAGCCAGTCTGCAACAGTTCTGGCCAAAAACCAGTGGACGCGAATCACAAAAGCAAACCTCGGGCGTGTTTTTTGTTTAAAGGGTGCCTTTTAATTATTACGGGGAAATGACTACTGAACTTGTCCTGGCTCAGCAGTAAAAACTTTCCTGGCGGCTGTCTGCGTGAAAGAGGGTCCCCTTTCCGGATCCTTCCAAAGGCCTGCTCCCATCTGAGTGTCTGGCTTTCTCCGGCACGCGATGCCCGACGGCTGTGCTCTCAGATTTAAAGTGCTCCAATTGTGCTCCAATTGGACTTTCCTACCATGTCGTTACAGAACTCCTGATGGCTCCGAAAGAACATGCTCCCAGTTTTTGTGAGCAGATTTGATACCCTGGGCTTCTTGGCTCCCTTGCAACCAAAAACTAGAGTAGATACTGTTGGCTTGCTCACTTGCTGAGTGGATGGCCAAAAAAAAGTATAAACTTGATATTTACCACTAAAATGGTCTTCCCAAAAAGTTTAAAGTTCATGAACTCAGGAAGTGAGGATACTGTTGGCTTGAGAGAAAAACAAACAAGTAAAGCTTGGTGCTTGCAAGCCCTTGGCTCGCTCACTTGCTCCTCAAAGGGTTGTCTGCTCATTTCTCCTGTGCCGTTTGTTTCTGAAAAGTGGACAGGCCGTGTGTGTCAGCGACTGCATTGGTGGCATCTGCTCATGTGCTCTATGGTAAAGACGTCCTCTACCAAAGGACGGCGAAGCAGGGCTCAAAGCCCTCTCAAACAATCCGCAAATTAAATTCGACTTCCACATGTGGACCTGCCCCTTGGACAGCAGATAGCATTAAAATGAGTCCAGCGAGGTGGATTCACTGGTACAAGTTGCAACCCGTCCGCCTCTGGCCGATTCCAACATATATCGTCTCAGAAAATCCTTTGGCACAAACCATGCACTCACTCTCAAAAAAGAGCATGGGAAGTTGCATATGCCCCTGATTGCGCCCTAGACTCATGATCATGTTCTCTGCTGCGACCCTAATGGCCACGCCCTTAACTCGATAGTCATTGCCCCTTTTTGCTCAAGTTCAATCCTTTTTCCAAGAACCCTCCAACATACCTGTTGAACATACCCCAACCCATGATGATTATTTTCATGTTGGGGTCCGGATGTGGTATGCTCTTCTTGGACTTTTGGCGTGGCCCAGGCTCCCATCCCCGTGCCCAACTCCACAACTCGGCTGCGCACTCGTCGTCGTGCTCGCTCTCGGCTTCATCACTGGCACTGGAGTCCTCTCTGGACGCTTCATTGGGACTGAACATGTAGAACCAAGGAGGTTATATAAAGAGGGCGGTGTGGATTAGCCGCAGTGGGCTTAAAGGAGAAGAGCAAAAGGAAGAAGAGTGAAGAAGAAGAAGAAGAAGAAGAAGAAGAGTGAAGAAGAAGAAGAAGAGAGAACAAAAAAAAAAAGAAGGATAATAAAAATAAGATCTACGACAACAGCATCACCAGCTGGTTCTTGAAATCTTTGTGGTTCACCATTGACCATGTCCTTCCCGTTTTGTAGGGTCGCTAGTTGCTTTGCCCGAGCAAACAACACCTGGCTCAGACATTGAGCTTTCGCTAAGCCACGCTTGCCTCATAAGGAGTGGCCCTTGACCCTTCCTGGTTTTGCCCCCTCAAGTATAGACAAATGCTCCATTTGGGACAAGAACTTCCGCTGCCAACCAGCAAACTTGGGATCCAGGGCTCCCTCAAAGAGGAAAGTGGAATCCAAAGCCCTTCCGCGAACCACAAGCGACGGGCTCCTCTGAAGTCCTCCTGGAACTCCTTCGGGACCTCAGCTCCAGAAGGATCCGGGGTTCGAATGGGGTCGGAACTTATGTCTTACATAATCCAATACTTGAAACAAATTCAAAGTCAATGACTTAGATTTGGGATACCACCGGTGGTTCTGAAAAAAACAAAGACCGCGGGAGTACGAGTCCATACTGCAGAATCCGAGCCTGGCTATGATACCTGCTTGACACGGACAACCACGTCTCCGCGTCCACACCAGAAACTCTGGCCGTGGCACCAAGAACCGCAAGCCACCTGTCCATTCCGAGCCAGTCCCTGCCAAACTGTTCGTGTCTTAGTCCAGAACTGCATTTGCTATGCGTGAGGCGGCTCTTCGGCATCGACGACATGTGGCCGTGGGTCATAACCTATGCCTCCATTTTGGGGAGGATGAACTCCCATGTACCACCTATGTGGATGTTCACCAGGGGTACACGGTTTTGACCCACAGCCATGTGGTTTTGACCTTGACATGTGAAGGTACAAGCGTACCATCTGCCCACACGTCCCCATAGCCTACCCCCGCAACCTGCATTCAGAAGGCAAGTGGCCCCTCCATGATGCCTTCCTTGCTGGCGTCACTGTACCGTGGTTGGACGATGGTGATCGCCGGGGTCACTGGAGAAAGCTCGTCCTTCGAAGGTACAAGCTCCGCTCGGAACACGTACAGTGGATGGATTGATGTGTCAATAGTGTGACCGAACGGCAGTGTACATAATTATGCAACATATGTAGAGCCATCTGAATCTATCTATCCATCCACCCATCCATCCATGCGTCCGTCCGCCCGTCCATCCATCCAATCCATCCATCCATCTATCTGTCAGTCTGTCTGTCGAACCTACTTGCCTATCTATCTATCGATATCGTTGTCAGTCTGTCTGCCTGCCTCCCTGTCTGTGTGGATATCTGTTTGGCTGTGAGTGTCACAATCAAATCAAATCGAATCGAACACACATATATATATATATATATACATATATATA